TGCGACCCAAAGTTGTGTTCTTTCCCCTTGTGTGAGTGCGCTCTCTCCGTGGGAGCCAAAAAAGGTTTGGAATCCAAAAGGTTGGATTGATCGCAAAAAAGGCAAAAAAGGTAATTTCACCGAACGAGGGGCTCGAACCCTCGACCACGGGATTAAGAGTCCCGCGCTCTACCGACTGAGCTAGCCCGGCTGAATTGAGTTGATTGAAGTCGAGCAGAAACGTAATGAATATCAACAGATCTGAGTGGGTGGATTTTCGAAAGTGGGCTGTGGTCACTTTGAACTTTTGCTTTGTTTCCCTTCTTCTCTCTCTTTATGCTGTGCTTCTCCTATTCTCCCGCAAGGACTCCTCATCAAGGGCAACCACTACACCGCTTGGGTTTTTCTAGGGAGCCGTCTCATGATTGCCGCCCTCCCGATTGCGTAGTGTTGCAGACCATGGACAGAGGACCTCCGTATCCCGGGTACGTGGGCGGATATGCAGCTCCAACATCTGCACCAGCGCCTCCCAGTGGGGCAAACCACAACGTGCCCACTTCTTATCCCAATGGCTATCTGCCCCTGTCGTACAGTAACGGGTCGATGTCTAATGGTCATGCAGGCGCTGCAGGACCCACCGCCCAATCCCAGGCCCCTCAAGGATACCAGCAGGTGATTCCCCACCCACCACCCCCCAACCCCATACATCTCCTCCTCACCCCCGCTCTTGTTAGTTACTGAACCAGATAAAGGCCCTCGACGAGGAGAACGCCAGACTGCGCAACTCCGCCATCGACTCGAACGAGGAAATCTTCTCCCTCAACGCAGTCGTGGCCACCATCGAGGCAGAGTCCAAGTTCAACCTAGAGAAGGAGACCACGAAGATGCAGTCGGAGCTCAACTTCAGGGTAAGCAGCCATTTTGATCAGCCATTTTGACCATTGCCTGATCGTTGCTGCTTCTCACTGCTCTCCCAAACCACCCCACACACCTCTCACCCCCACACCTCCCTGTAGAGCAAAGAGCTCACGAATCTGAACAAAGAGTACCAAAAGACGATGAAGGAGCTAGTCGGCCTGAAGAAGAGCAACACAGCCAATCACCAACTCAATCGACTACACGTGAAAACGGAGCGAGACGAAAACATGGATGTAGGCAACGGTTTCGCCGACGACGGGGGCAGTAGTGGCACCTCATCTCCGCGGTCGGGTGTCAAAACCGAGAGCCCCAGGGCGAGCCTATCTGGGTCTTCTGTCCCCTCTGTCCCTTCTGTACGTACTGTCCCAGTTCCGGGACTTGCACCCTCAGCACGGCGGGCGACCAGCTACGCCTCAACCGCCTCTGTGGTGTCCGCCTCTGGCTCCCTCAAGGCGCAGAGGACCCATAAGCGGCTAGGGGGACACAGCGAAGGGGCGGTGGGCACGCTAGCCTCCCTACACTCTCTATCTGCCCGCTACCAACACCTGCTCTCCCTACTGCTCGCGATCAGCCCCGCTGAGTCAGCTGCAGAGCCTCGAGCTGCACGATCTGCGGGGGGCCTGGCCAGCGCCCTGAAGTCCAGCGAGAAGGCCAGGGAACTGAGATTCAAGTCGACCTTCCTGCGCTGCGAGACAAGCGGGTCCGCTGCGCAGCTCACCGCACAGGTCACGGAGCAGCTACAGCAGGCCGTGTTGGCGGTAAGTACAAGTACATGTGCGGATATGCTGCAAGGACTGACTTGCTCTTCTCCCCACTCCTCTGCACTCCTCTTTCATCTCCACTCCTCTTTAATTTCCACCGCAGACCCAGCGGGGCGACGATTTCGACCTCTGTAATCTCGTGGGAAGTATAATATCCCTCAACCGACAGATCCTCCACACAGCAGTGCTGCTACACACCAGCACTATTCGAGTGGTCCCCACTGAGGGCCACCAGGCTCTAGCCGCACTCTGTCTGGGTCTGTCGCTGCTGGAATTGGCTGCACAGCTGGGTGATTTGTCGGCCAGCATATACCATGGGGGGGTGGGCGTGGGTGTGGGCGGTGAGGGGGGAAGTATTGCTGGGCGGCTGGACAGCAGATTCGAGCAGGCGCTGGGGAAGTCGGGAGAATTGGGGAAAGCCTCGGCCCCCACCCACCCCACTAACCCCACCAACACAGCCAACCCCAGTACCACCGCTCGCACTAACACCAGTGCCCCCAGTGCCAGCGACCACAGTCGACACGAGCTCGTCCTAAAGGGCCTCAAGGTGCCCGCCCTTACAGATGCGCAGAAGGCAGTGGGGAAGGTGGGGATAGTGGGGACAGTGGCGACAGTGGGGAAGGTGGGGGCAGTGGGGAAAGCGCCCACTCTCTATTCGGGTGGGTGTTTTGAGGACCTGGTAAGGCTGCTTGACGACGTGCTGCGCTTCGGGTGCGCGCACTCCACAACAGGACTCCTACAGGGTGCTGTGTCGATCCTCCTCAGCCTCGCCTACCAACCCGCCTTTCACTCGAACCAGCACTCAGTCCGCTGCATGTGTGTGCTCTTCAGTGGTAGGGGCCATGCCTCCAGCACGATCCTACTACTGCTGAACAGCCACACAAACATTTCTCTAGTACAGTTGTTGGCGCAGTTGCTCTCGCAGGGGGACATATTTTGTGCACTTGCTAGGTGCGAGTCCCTTGGGAAGGGGGGCTTTGTGAGACTTTTGGTGGCCAGCCTGACGAAGAGGGGGTACCACTACCCCCGCCCTGACGAGGAGCCTGCCCAGATCGAGTACGAGAGAAGTGTGGTGGATCTGTTGCTGCAGCTGCTGGGCTATGGTCGCCCCTTCGTATTGCTGCTGCTGGGCTTGGATCCGCTGAGCTTCAATGTCGGTGGGGAAATTGGGGAATCCGGGAGGGCGGGGACGGCAGGGACAGTGGGGGCGGTGGGGACAGTTGGGGCGATGGGGACAGTTGGGGCCGTGGGGACCGTGGGTGCCGTAGGGTTGGGTACCAGTAGCCGAAAGCGCAGCCGGGGCGCAGACTACGCGCAGGGGTCAGTGCTGGTGCTGAGCCCCGCACAGGTGGCCTCCATGGACCGCCAACTATGTCTGCTGACTGACTACTGGATGCACCTGATTCGCAGCATGGACACCTACAGTCTAATAACGGACACTGGGACCGACAGCAGAGAGACCCGCATGGCGCTGCTCATACAGCGCCTCGGCGTGCTGATCAGCTCATCCCTAGAGCACCTCTCCCCCCAGGACTGCGAGCACGTGCTTAACGATGCAGCTGACAGCTTCCACGAGTACATCTACCGATGGAACACATCATCCTGGAATAGTGCTATCAAGATGCCCGACTCACTATTCCGCTTCCTCGAGTCCGGCGGCAAGGCGGACGCAGAGCTGTAATATATTTTGCCAATAATCTGTAAACTTCAGGAATTAGCCAATCTGTAAACTTTGTGGTTAAAAAGACACCCTCTTGTACGCACTTCCTGACCCGCCTGTCCATCTGCTGGGCCTGTGTCTCGCATGAGAAGAAACAGCGTACCCATGAGCTATGCACTCAATATTTTATTATTGTATGTAAGGTGCTTTATCAAATATAAATGATATTATACATGATATTATAGAATATATGTGTCGTTATCGAGCTAATCTCTGCAACTCCCCCACCCATTTGTCCCGCTATGCTTTCAGGACGATCTGTATCTCCCCATCGTTATCTTTATAGGGATGGACTTCGATGGGATAAGCGAACTCGCTCAGCACTTGCAGAACCATCCTCCGCAGCACCGGGACGGCACTTGGGCTGTGCACGCCGCGGCCCACGATGTACTGTACCTGAATGTACTGTACTGTGCTATAGCGAGAGTCCCGCACAGTCATGTGTCTAGCGCTGGGGTTGCTAGACACGCGTAGGACGTTTCGGTAGTAGACCAAGGAGGACGTAACTACCTCCCAGCAGGGCCGGCGCGTCAGGCCGTGAAGGTCGATCGAAACTACCAATCCTCCAGTGTTGTTGACTGTTCCCGTCCACTGCCTTGTTGCAATCTCGCCCGTCTCCATCCCACCGAACTCGATGCACCCCCCTTCACCGTGTACTATGATCCCGCGATTATTGTGTCGGAGCTTGGCCAGGTAGTGGTCGAGCAGAAAGTAGGAGTACCACTCGGGCTCCTCCTCTTTCTCGACAGTACCGGTAGAGAGTAAGCCGGAAGTGCATTTGCTCTTCTTTGCCATCTTGGTGAAAACACCCATTTTGCTGGGCGTGTGTCTATCGAGGCTGCTCTCGTTGGTACCGATAGGTGCGCTGCTCATGTTTTGGAATATGAGGTCGCTGGCTGCATCTGCGTTGAAGTGTTTCTCGTACAGTGCGTCCAGCAAGCAGTCCGTGGAAACCTGGTGACGCATATCCCTGAACAAATCCCTCAACGCTGTGAACATCTCCCGCTGCTGGACTGATAAACAAGCCAGCTTGGGGTGTGCGAGGGCCGTCTCCAACTCTCCAGTCCACTTCTTCCGTGCCTTGCTTCTCTTCTTCGACTCCCGTCGGCGGTCTGCCTTGCTTAGCTTCGCGGCCAACTCTCCGTCGTCCGCTTTCTCCCCAAGGTCGTCAGCGTCGAGTCGATCTACTGCAATCTGTATGGCGGCGTCCATCTTCTCTGAGGAGTGAAGTTCCCCCCCAACCCCAAGGCTGTCCCAAATCTCCACGAGTGTAGACTGTTTCCAACTGGCGAATAAAGCCAGAAAGTACTGTTTCGCGGCTGCTTCGTCCATCAGGTCAAAGGGCTCAACTTTGATGCTGTCTTCGACGATGTTGGCGCCATTCGGGCTGACGTTGACCACGACCGGAGCACCGATCTCGCTCTCCAAGCCCAACTCCCGCATTACTTCGTAGCCAGCCAAGCCCATGACATACAAAACAGAGCATTTCTCCTCCCCAATCTGGAGGAGAACCTTTGCCCAAACTGCTTCCAAGGCTTCATCCTCGAGTACGCCATCGTACTGACTCAGGTACTCCAGATGAGCGCGATGGATCGAATGCATCGTCGACATCAGGCTGGAGAGGGGAGCGGTGCGCGTGACTCAGATCAGATCGATCAGATCGAGAGAAAAGTTGGGAGATCAGATAGGAACCTCTCAAGCTAGCTCATCTGGGATTGAACAGTTGAAAATGCTGCTGCTATGTGGCACCTCCCAACTTTTCTCGCAAAAAACCCATTTTTTTGGAAGATTATTTTGGGGTCAATTGAGTTT